TGATGTCTGAATGCTGCAGCACCCTCCGGGTTGCTTCCCAGGCCGACTCACCAGGCTGGGCTGAGGCCTGTAACTTCACTTCTACTAAGTATCCAGGTAAAGATGCCACCACCAATGATTCTGTCAAGGGGTGGGGTGGGTTGGGTGGATGGGTCTTAAGGGCCCTTCAAGGAGATGGCAGGGGACACAAAGGGCAGAAGGCAAGAGGGCACAGGGAAGGCCCTATCTGAGGGCTTCCTGAATCTCTGCAGCCACTGATAACAGGGATCGAGCTTGAGGGCAGTCAGGACAGCAGAGCTGGGGAAGGGGCAGAGGTGATATCAATGTCCAGGGGCCACAGTCAGTTGGGCTACAGTGCAGGGGCAGTGCCTCACCAAGGCTGGCTGCCTTCACCCATACACCTCTCCTTTTTCAAGGTAAACCCTAAGGGTACCGTGGTGACCACTTGGCAATGGCCGGGTCTGCTGGGAGCTCCTGCCACCTGGTGGCAAGAGGGGACATTACAGCAAATAACAGTGGACACAACCCATATAGACCAGAATTCTTTTTAAAATTTTGTTCTAGGGGCTGGGAGCTGAACAAAGGGCCTGTGCAGGCTGAACACACATTTAGTCCACCTGAGCTACATTCCCCAGCCCATGGCCCAGAATTCTTAAGGCTGGATCAACTGTGAGGCTAAAGCTAAGGAAACGTTAGTTTCCAAAAAAGTCAATTAGGGCTGGGAATGTAGCTCAGTGGTTCTGCTGCCTGCCTCACAAGCACAAGGTCCCCAGTTTGATCCCCGGTACCAAAAAAAAAAGGTCAAATCTAAAAGTCATAAAGTTAGGAAAATAATTTGAATAATTTAATTAAATTTTCAAACACCAGAGCACATAGGTTAATATGAGATTAGTAGAAAATGTAACAGCCTTTCCTTGCTGCATTAATATAAATATTGGCTTAAGGTAACAATATCCCCCTTACAATCTTTTAGGCACTTGGGCGTAAAGTATGCTGGAGAATATAATACAATCTTATTGCTGCTAAGAGAGCAACCAGAATGAGATCTGACTGTCCTAGCACAATATTGTCAGCATTACTAACTTAAAAATACTATAACCATGGATTTCCGTCCAGGTAACAAGTTCCAGTGTAATTAAATGGGTAACATTTCACCGATAACAGTCAAGACTTCAAATTCCTGGTAGTCTGAGACAGAACCCAAAGAATGGTGAAGTTTCTTTTTTCTAATCACTTTGTTTTTTTTTTTTTAATAGTTAAGAACTTTCTTGGAAGGCATTTAAGCAAGACAGAACCCTGCAGGACATGAGAGACTTAAAAAAATGATAATAATCAGCTGATTTGGCTGACAGTGTGGGCAGCTGACAGCACTATAGACACCGGAAAGTCTCTCTGAGTAAGACATAAAAATACAGAACCCACTAATCGATGCTGGCCAGAAGCACTGTTGGAAGGGTGAATGGCAGGTGGCATCTCTGGTGCATTCTGGGTGCTGTGTGCATCTGGGCTGCTAACACAGGTGCCCTGAGGATGCCACAGGTTCAAGGCTGCAGAGGTGCTGGATACCAGCACATGGTCACTGTGTGGCTGCAGTGGCCTGCACGTGCTGCAGGAGCTGCTCGCAGTAGGTGGCTGAGCGGTGCTTGTGTATGACAGCCTCGGTCTCGCGTACCAGGAGATCTGGGAAGAGCGCACTGCCCTCTTTGAGCACCTCTGTAAAACAATGCAACATCTTGAAAATGCCAGAAGCTGACACGAATGGGCCCTACTGTTATGTGCAAATTAGCTGTGCGTCAGGTCAGACCATCTATACAAGCTGTATGGGCAGCCCCATGCAGCTGGCCTATGACTCAGGGCACAACATGGACAGAGAGAACTTAAAAGAGCTAGCAGCTCAAGGGACAGGTGCTCCCACACAGCCTTAGGGCTGTGGGTGACAGCTTAACTGTTTTAGGATCATTTGTTTGTATATACAGTATCTGCTGCTCAGGAACCAAGCCCCACAGCAGTGGGTGCTTGAGCAATGCAGCAAAGGAAGCAGGAAATACAACCAAGCACCTCTGTGCCCCTTCCTGACCTGACTTGGTCCCAGCCTCTCTGGCCTTCTGGGCTTTACCTCCTTCTACAGAATCCTCCTCCTCCAGCTAATAGTTGGCCCACACTACACTATCTACTTTAAAAAGTATTTTAAAGTAACTGTGAAACCTTTAAGTGGACAGGTGGCTTCTTTCTAAATGCAGTTAGTGAAAACTTCCATGTAATCAGGTTTCAAAAGTTGCACAGAAATTTTCTAAGACTTCTATTAACAGAAATGTACTTATTAGAAACACGAGTCGGGGCTGGGGATTTGGCTCAGTGGTTCCGCCGCCTGCCTCTCAAGTGCAAGGACCTGAGTTCAATCCCTGGTACCGGAAAAAAAAAAAAAAAAAAAAACCAAAAAAAACCTGGAAAAAAAATTGATGTAAAAAAAAAATCATCCTGGATAATCCTTAAAAAAAGGAAATGTGATTCATGTTTAGATGTCTGTCCCACCCTCCCCAAACACTTACAGCAAAGGCAGGGTGACAGGCAGCCCACTTAAGCATACTGCGAAATTAAGTCCACACACTCAATCAGAGCTGCAGAAAAAGAAGTCATTTTTCATCATGCATTCTGACGCCTTCACCTTACAGCCCGGGGCCACCTGAGGCCACCTGAAGGTGACATCTGTCAGGGCCAGAGCTGAGATGAGAGTGCTGCTCTCTAGGTCCCCACACATCCTATGGTCTGTGGTGACTTACATATGATGAACTAATAAACAGTTCAATCAAGGCAACCTCAATGGACAGGCAAGGAAATACCAAGACGAGAAGGGACGAACACTCGGCCACGTTTGTATGAACTTGACAGAATTTGTACCAGAGAAGTGGGGTTGTTGCTGTGACTGTACCTGACCATGTGATTTAGGAGCCTTTGGAACTGGCTTGTGGGAAAGGGAGAGTTAGGAAAGTTTGGAGATGCCACCTGGAACACCTTAAGCTGCACTTGTTAGGAGATTCTGGTCAGAGCTCAGAAGATGAGAAGCTGATAGAAATGTTGCCAGTAAAGCCCAGGCTCAGGAGATTTGTAGTGGGAAGGACTGCACTGGCTGTTGGGACTCCAGATTATATGATATACGGCTTGGTAGAAAGTTTTGTCTGCATTTTGCTCATGTCCAGAGACTTGAGATTAAGGGTGGCAGACTAATCTTGCAGAAGAAATTCAAGGCAGTGTAATGCTGAGGCAGTGGCATGGCTACTGTTGGGGGCTTTTAGCCAGATTTATGTTGAAAATCAAGAGCAAAGAGCCCAGCAGAAAGATTCCAAACATTTTGAGTTTAGCCAGCCAGAAAGAGAGTCCAGTAAAGTTTCAGCCTACAAAGATAAAACAGAGGAGAAATTGGTTGCTGAAAACACTAGCAAGAAGTCAAGTACTTCAAAACACAACAGAAAAAGTGGCCTGGGGGCAACCCAAGAACCAGCAGAACTCCAGCCTTTGCAGCCACAGAGTTGCTTTGAGAAGAGGCCCCCACAGTGATATCTTCTGGAATGGTGGCAGCCTAGGGAAATTGTTCTTTGGGATTCAGTTCACAGGCACTGGACCCCTACAGTCAAGACAGAAGGGAGCCAGGCTACTCCTCCAGCTGGCAGCAGACTTTGGCATATCCACATGGTGCTGGTTTTAGGTGCGTGCAGAATGCAAGAGTTGTGGGGTCAGGAAGGCTTCCACGCAGGTTCAGAAGGAGGTCTGGGAGGCCAGGTAGTGTGCCCCTGAGAGGACAGTGTGTGAAGCTGTGAGTGTGAAGCAGGTGTCGGGGAGACCCCAAAAGTTTGAAGCAAGGAATGTTGACCACCTGAGGAAAATTGCAGGGAGGGAGCAGACAGCCCAAGAGAAAACCCATGGGAGCTATGACTACTGATAGTGCCACAGAGGCAGAGCCACCCAAGCCCTTTGGAGTTCACATCTCACCTCAGATGCTGGACATGAAACTACAAGACTTAATGTTTGCCCTGCTAGATTTGGTCCCATTTCCTTTTTTTTTTTGGTACCAGGAATTGAACTCAGGACGTTGCACTTGCAAGGCAAGTGGCAGAACCACTGAGCTAAATCCCCAGCCCTTGGTCCCATTCCTTTGTATACCCCTATTTGTATCTTTTGGAATGGAAATGTCTATCTCATGCCACTCAAAGTAAAAAGTGTTTAATTTTGTTTTCCATCTGTATAGGGGCTCATATTTAAGAGTTTGCCTTAAATCTCAGAAGAGACTGTGGACTCAGACTTTTCAGCAATGCTGAAACTGTTAGGACTTTGGCAACTCTTAGATATGGACTAAATAAATGCCTTTTGTGTGAGGGCATGTACATGAATCTTTTGGGGGCCAGGGGCAGAATGTTATGTCTTGTATATAGATGTCCCCCCAAAGCCAGATGCAGACATAAGTGGGGCTTTTTTCAGAGGTGACTGAATCTTGAGTGTGTGATGCTGGGATTAAGGGTGCATGATTTACTAAATCAATCCACTGATTGGTTTGGCACCACTCTAATCCTGGTAGCTTAGATAAAGGATAAAAGGGGCAAAAAGAAGCTGCTGAGGTCCCTTGCTTGCTTGCTTTGCTACCTTCTGCCCATCTCTCAATGCCTGTCTGCCACACCACCCTGCCTAGGAGCCAACCAATTATGGACTACAAATGGTAAGCTAAATAAACCTGTTCTAACTTAACTTGTGGTTGTTGGGTATTTTGTCTCAGCAACAAGAAAATGCAGAAGCACATGTGGAAATATAGTTGTCTTCTGTCAAGCTAAAAATTAAAGGGATAAGCAGTGCTACTTTTCTTGCTAATTATTTTGTTTTGGAAAATTTGTTTCACAGTTAAGTATTGCTGCTTGAACCACAGAGACAAAAGTACCCGGGGGTCACCACAGCCCCCAGCATGTGCTGAGCCTGGATCCTCAAATATGGGCCAAAGGTGTCAGAAAGCTCACCTAAGACTGTGTCCTGGATGGTGCTCTCAGGGTCATCCAGATGAATGAGGAGCTCCCTGTACAGGTACTGGATGCTGCTTTGATAGTATGACTTGCCCTCGGAGCTCTGGATGCACCTCAGCCAGGTGAGCAGGGTGGAGGCAGCGGCCATGCGCACATCATTGGAGACATCATCTAGGCGCTTTAAGAGCTCTGGAGGGAGGGCCCAGATAGGTGTTAGAGGCTCCAGAGCAGATATCTCACCCGTAAAGACCCACTCATGGATCTGATCCTCACTCTTGGGCAGCACCGCCCTTAGTCCCAGGAGACCCATACCTCTAAGGGAGACTGCCATGCAGCTGGCACCCATGGGTGAGGTGCTCCTGCCCTGCTAGCTCAGCAGACCCACAATGCCCTCATTTGGGGGGGTCCCCTAGCTCTGTCACACACAGTCACACACAGTCATACAGTCAGTCATACACAGGCCTCCGGAGCTGGCCACTCCAGTAGCAGCCCAGGGGGACAGGACAACCTCATTGCTATCAGTCTGTTCTGGGGGACTTGGTGACCAGGCCTTGCTGCTGCCACCGCAGAACAGTCTTTCCTGACGGGTAGGATGTTCAAAGTTAATCAGTAAGGTTTTTCAGCTTTTTCCCTGTACTAGGGATTGAAACCAGTCTTTTCACTGAGGTTCATCCCTGGCTCTTTAAAAAAATTTTTTGAGACAGAGTCTTGCTAAGATGCTCAGGAGGGCCTTGAATTTGTGACTTCCTGCCTCAGATACTCACAGTGCTGGGATTACAAGGCTGCACCACCACATTCAGCTAAAGTTTTTATCAAACTTATGTCTTTTTTTTTTTTGGTACCGGGGATTGAACTCGGGTCCTTGCACTTGCAAGGCAGGCCCCCGAACCGCTCAGCTAAATGCCCAGCAAACTTATGTCTTTTTTTTTTTTGGTACCGGGGATTGAACTCGGGTCCTTGCACTTGCAAGGCAGGCCCCCGAACCGCTCAGCTAAATGCCCAGCAAACTTATGTCTTTTTACATGGTCGTAAAAAACCCTCTGGCACCTACTCGCACACATCTCCAGAGAATGAATGAGCATGGAGTTGAGCGCTGAAAGGGGAAGGGGCTGCCCCACCCGGCGTGAGGCCGCCCAGCTGCACACACAGGTTGAACTCATTCTGTTCTGCATGGAGGTTACATTCCACTCTCAACAAGCCACTCCTAGCTTACAGAATGGCACAAATAAACATTTCAAACATTCAAGAGGTCAGGGCTTTGGGATGAACAGGATCAGCTGGATCACCTCAGGGGAGACACCCATAAGCTCCAAAGGGTGCTGGGCTCTGGCAGCACAAGGCACGGAATACACATCTACAAATCAAGGAGGGAGTCACCTTGGGCTGCACTCTGAGCACCACATGTGTGATCTCACTGAAGTCTCCAGCAGCAACTGAGGCAGGCATAACAACACTCATATCTCAGGATAAAGGAACTGAGTTAGACTCAAAACTTGCACAAGGTTGGCCGACTCATAAACATCAGAGTGCTGAGATGTCTTCCCTTAGGTTCATGGGCACCCAGGCCACTGCAGGAATTAATTTATGATGGTGATGCTGATTCCAGCTCTGGACAGAAAAGGCTGCCTCAAGTTCTCCCTGTGGTAGCCACAGTGCTCTCACGAGCAGCCACAACTCTAATGGGCTCATGCTGCTATCCCTGTCCACTAGCTGGTGCCAGGGGGCCTGGAGGTGCCTATGCTCATCTTTACCTCTCTGGCCAAGAAGGTGATGGATCTTCCAAGAGCTCAGAACTGGCACCAACAAGTACAGAAATCTATGAGGGATTCTTATGTCATGAATATAGCCACGAGGGATTATGTACTCGCCGTAAACTGCAGGACAAATGCCCAAATATGTGCCATCTTTCCGCTGGCTTCCACCGCAAACAAGTAAACAATGTCCCAATTTACCCTGGAAGCCAACAACTCACTCTGGCTGAATTCATTTGGAAATAGAGCCATAGAGACTATGGGCAGGAAAAAAAATGTTTGTGACTAAAAACAAAAACATCCCCACTTCCACAAAAAAACCCAAATCCAAGTAGGCCTGGACTTCTGGTTTCTTTGGGAGGCAGTGTCTTGCTCAGCATTTGTCCCACACATTGGATCTGAGAGTCTACGTCTGTCTTCAGTCTGGGTGATTCTACATCTTGCTCCTTTCCAATGCTGCCCCGCCCTCCTCCTTTACCAGGGCTCATACCTCACCTCCTCTACACCTTCATTTTCTTCGGAGGAGCTGTATTTTAGGGAAATGACGCCTTTCAATTCACTAATATCAGCCTTCAACCATGTTCAGATTTACACGTACACTGGGCTATAAATTCCAGAGTTATTCATTCCAGGAATCATGAAAACCATCGAGACTCAATGTGTTGCTACTCCATGTGTAGTTTTAGGCCATGAAGAGGCACATGTGCAGGTCTTCCCCTCCTGCCTCATCCAGAGCTGTCCCTTAGGCACCTCCCTTCAAGTCACTGCCAGGCATCCTCCTACAACACCCTGTTGGGTCTTCTCATGTCCATTTGTCTATTTCCTGTTCCTGTTTATCGTTTGGTTTCTCAGTTAATTTTAATGGAAGTTGTTTTTAGTGTTTCGAGTATTAAAGAGAGAATGTCATGTGTTGCTTCCCTTCCCTCCAAAGTTACTGAGCTCAGTCCATCCGTTCTCCTTCAGGGTCCTGGGGTTTACTTATGTTTTCAGGCAGCTGTGCTCCCAAGCTTACCTGAGTGATTGATTTTTCTTCTCTGCATTTGCTGTTCAGCTCAGCATTTGTTTTATTTATTTATTTTTGAGACAGGGTCTCACTATGTTGTTGAGACTGCCCTGGAACTGTGTAGCCCAGGCTGGTCTCGAACTCACAGTGATCCTCCTGCCTCAGCCTCCCAAGTGCTGAGATTACAGGCATGCGCCACCATGCCCGGCTTTCAGCATTTGTTTTATTGATGGCTTCTGAGGCCTCATTTCCTCCCACTCCTGGCCTTGACTCTAGCTAGGATTTGTCTGATGCTTAAGCATCCAAAATGGCAGACACTGGGTAGTGATGGCTGAGACCTGAGCCAGGGGCACAGCCCCATCCTCCCTTGCAGTCACAAGCCCTGCTGCAGGGCAGGCACCTGCTCCAGCAAGCCGGGTACAGCAGCCTCACCCCAGACCTTATTTTTAAACCAGGGCCTGGCCACAGTCCTCCTGCTCTGGGGTCCCTGCCACCTGCCGGGCTGCAGTGGAGTGGGGCTTTGCTCCCACCCTCAACTCTGGTCCAGAAGGTTCAACCTGGGTTCTGCTATTCATTTATTATTTTATCTGTCTTTGCTGTGTCTGGGCTCATAGTACCAACACGACCTTAAGATAAAACGTAACATTCTCTGTTCGGCTATAAAAGACACTTGAATATAAATGTATATGCATGGCTTGATAAACAGAAATCTCCTACCAGGATAAACTTTGATGAATTTATCTGGGTTCATAACATCGCCAGAGGTCTTCAAAAATATGTTAATGATACGACAGGAGATCAGCCGGGTGGTCTGCACATCTTCTTCCAGGGCAGCCAGGATCCGTGGCAGCAATGTATCCTGCACGTCCTGCACCTGGAACCATGAGCATGTATGAGACAGTGCTGGCAGGTCTGCTCTGACTGCCTGCAAAGAGGGGCCCAGTTGACCTGGCAAAATACAGTCTGAAAAGCTGCCATAAAAGCTGTAACAAATAGGGTCAGGGCTCAGTGGTTCTGCCACCTGCCTCACAAGCACATGGTCCTGAGTTTGATCCCCAGCACCAAAAAAAAAAAAAAAGTTGTACCAAATAGACTAGAATCTGGATCTGAACAATTTTTGTCTTAACTTGGTCAGTGGATTTCTAGTAACCCATAATTCCGAATCCCTCAGCAAGGCCAGTTCTGCCTCCTGTGGGTGCCTGCAACCTGGGTGTCCAGGAGCACTTTGGAGCAACAACCCTTCCATGCACCAGAAGGGGGCGCTCACACACCACATGACCTGGCTGAAAGGCTTCCCCAATGCTGTGCAATTGAAGACATACAAGCTCAAGGCAGTAGCTGTTCCTACTGCTTCCTGATTCCCTGCACTGGCCCAACACAAATGGAACCAACACAGAGGCCCAAGGCCTAGCCACCTTGATGGATCCTATGATGAAATTTAGTTTTGTAAAAAAAAATATATATATATATATATATTTTTTAGTTTTGTAAGGAATATTCAATATGGGGCTGGGGATTTAGGTCAGTGGTTCTGCCGCCTGCCTTGCAAGCACAAGGTCCCAAGTTCGATCCCTGGTAAAAAAAAAAATAATATTCAATATATAAACCTAAGAGCTGGGCATGGTGGTCCAAACCTCTAATTGCAGCGCTCAGAAGGCTGAGGTCAGCCTGGGCTACACAGTGAGTTCAAAGCCAGCCTGGACTACATAGTGAGATCCTGTTGCAAAAAAATAAAAAAGAAACCTAGGAGACCAAATCCTTGCCAGGCCCCCAATTTATCAAAGAAGACAAAATCTATAGCACTGACTGGTAGCCAGACCTCTGCCTTCTATCCTGCTCTCAGGCCTGTCTGTTTTCCTCCACAGCCTGCACGTCCCAGCTGCTCATCTGCCCAAGTCCTGGAAGCCTTACCTGCTTGGCTGACAGAATGTCGCTGCTGGTGAGTGCCCACAGGCAGGACACAGCAGCCGTGCGGATGGCTGCAGCTGTCTTCCCCGCTCGCCACTGCAGGTTGGGCATTAAGATGTCCTTCACCACTGTGTCAAGGTAGCCACAAAACTGCCTGGAGCCAACACAGGAGACAGTGGTGAGCAAGGACAGAGACTCGCTCCAAAGGAAGCATCTCGGTTTGGGCTGGGGGAAGAGTCAATAGGAAAAACTGGAAGTGACACCAATGGGAATATCCCCTATTCCTGGGGAGACTCGGACTGCAGTGGCCATGTCTGTGACTCCAGCGGGAAAAGGGAGATCGCCGTCTGGCCCAGCCTCATTAGGGAAAGATGGCTATCACAGGGCTGCACTTCTGAGGGTTCTAGCTGGCCTCACCTTGACCAGCATTAGATCCCGGTTCTCCAGAAAGCCTCATAGCCAGAGAATATATTTTTAGCCTTTTTCTTTATTGCCGGGGGCTCCATGGAGGAGACCTGAGTGACCCTGACCCACAGCTCAGTACTCAAGTCCTGTCAGTGTCCACTTACAACACAGGCCCAAGTGCCTGTGAACATGTGACCTTCCACCTCAGCAAGGACAGCAGCTGCAGGCCCGCTCAGCTTTAGGGAGGCCAGATGTGGGGACATGGGGTAATCCCTTAGGAAAGCAAGGAACTCCCGCAATAGTCCACATAACGTCATTTTGAGGGGACCCACCAGGTTCATCATGTCCTCAGCAGAAACAAGGCAAAACAGCATGAGAACCCACAGGCCCATGTGCCCCCTCAGTGCTGTACTTGCATCCCTGAGACCTGCTGAAATGGCAGAAATGGGTCTTAGCATTTCCCAGTGGCTCCATGCACCTGCAGGCCTTCAGCTGCTACACTGCAATCCCAGAACAGTACTGAAGACCACCCCATGTGGCCTGCTGGTGCTGCCCTAGTGGCTGGCTGCTTCTGTGTGCTGCCTGCATGGAAGTGCTTCTGCAGGTCCCATCTGCTTGTTCCCAGCATGAGCATTTTGGGGCCATGATAGATAAGCAAATTTAGAAAGTTAATTTGGGATAGGATGATGCATAAATTCAAGTTCTAAATGTGTTTATTTGGCAGGGTTTTTTTCAGGCAGGGTCATGTTATGCAGTCCAGGCTTGCCTTGAACTCATTATGGAGCCTAGGCTGGCCTCAAGCTTGTGGCAATCCTCCTGCCTCAGTCTCCCAAGTGCTGGGATTACACTGTGTACTCACACCCAGCTCGATGTGTTTTAATGTTTAAGCAGTGATCCACAAGAGGGCACCTTGGAAAGGCTGAGGATTTAGCTCAGGGGTTCCCCCTCCTGCTTTGCAAGCTCAAGGTCCCAAGTTCAATCCCTGGTACCAAAAAAAAAAAAAAAAAAAAAAAAAGAGGCTTAGGATGACCTAGCCCTGTGCCATCTCTGAAGGGTCTATGTAAAGAGGCCTGGAAAAGCGGCTTGAGGGTGAGCGTCTGAGCACTGACTGGACCATAATGTGGTCACTTAGGAAGGTGGCTGCAGCCCCACAGCTGTGGCTACTTTTAGTGCGTGTCAGAATCTGCTGTCTACACCATTAGCATGAGGGCAGTAAAGAAAAGACAAATACGTTCAATGAGGGAGTTCTCCTTGCACAGAAGATGCACAGCAGGCCCTGTAATGCAGGCCACATCTGGGAGATGTGTCCCACAGACCCCTTCTAAGCAGACTCCACTGGGGGCTCACTCTGCTGAGAGATGAACCACTTATGAGCCACTGCTCGTAAGATCACGTGCATTACCTTCATCGCCATGCGAGTTTTACATACAAACTTGACTCTGTGGTTGCCAAGGTGTTCCTAGTTTTCACTGGCAATGAGGAATGGATCCAAGGCAGCAGCCTCATGAGGGCTCCTCCCTCCCAGGCCCTCTCGGCTTCCTCGTGGTAACTTATCACAGGCTTAGCAAAAGCAAGAGGCTGCTAGGAGCAGGGCTGCAAAATAATGGACAAAGACAACCTTCCTCTATAGCTTGATCCACAGAAAGCCTGGATGATGCCGGCAGAAGCTCTGCCTCAAGTAGGCCTGCAAGTAGCAGCTGGTGACAAGAACAAGCCAGGAGGGTCTGGCAGAGGACACTGTTCAGTGTCACTGTATTGGGCTTGCTGTGCATGTGCTTTCTCTGGAAAAGGAATCCTGACCCAAATGCCACACAGATGCCAGCTGACAGGGGCCCCCTTTCCAGTATCCCTGTCCAGCAGCATCATAGACACTTGATGATTCTATCATTTTATAAGCCCTCCAAATCTTATTTTTTAAATCTTTCCTGTCTACAAAAATACCTAATTATCTCACTTAAATAACTTTTATTTGAACATTCTACTTCTGGTGACACTGATTTCTTCCCCTAAGAAGGCTTTCCTCTCAAACTGTGACTGAGCCCAGCAGCAGCCCTGGGCCAGACCTGGAACTCAGGCAGAGTGTGAGGCAACAGCCGCCGTCTCTGCAGCCACACTGCCTCATGCATCACCCACACGTGAGTCTGCCTGCTCAGGGCTGCTGCCAAGGCTCATATTAGTACCTTTTTATGATCCCTTCTGGCCTTGAGGTTTCTGTAGACAAGCAGGAAACAATTTCCTAATGGGCTGGCTAGAGGCCCAACAGCAGAAAAGAGATGAAGGTTGCAATCAAAGTTTAAATGACCAAATTGTTTGCATGGGAAACTGTAGTCTGTTGGCTACATCTGTTTCCATGAACCTGTTTCCTGGAAGAGGAGGGTTCCCAGGTCCCGATGGAGTCTGAGCCTCCAGGTTTGTGTCCTAAGAGCTGTGCCCTGCCACCTGTCCCCACCCCTTCCCGCCTTTCAGGCTAGGACCCAGGGTGACTTTGGGTGTTCTGCTGATTTAACAGAGAAAAATGGTGGCTTAAGAACTGCTGGGGCCTCTTCCCCAGAGCACTGTTGGATTCTGTAAACCACCCACAGCCTGGCACACAGGTCACCTGCCACTTCCTGTCTGGCCAGGGCCACTATGACAGCTATTCTCCCTCCCATAGGCTTGTTCTTCTCTTCCAAGTTCTTTGTTCCTTTTTCCTTGCTTCACAGCAGTAAAACTGGAAGTTCTTACTGTTTTAATGCTAGCTAAAAGTTCTTTCAGATAATAGAAGACTATCTGTACTGCTTTAACTATCAATGGCAATTCAATCAGTTCTTTGCTAGGTTTGAAAGGTACCAAAAGGCTTTTAAAAGCGAGAACTGCTAATATATAAACCATTAATAGTTAATGTTCCCTAAAACTTTTTCATTCAATGGAATTTTAATGACCACACTAAAATGACTTTGATTTACTGTTTCAGCATTTCTCTGCAATGCACTACTATTCTGATCGTGCTGTCTACCGGTGGGAACAAACAGTGGCAAGGCTTGGGTACAGAGAAGCTCAGGGGTATCCTCAAGCTTCACCTGTGACCCAGCACAGTGTGGGGGGAGGAGGGAGCCTTTACCTGGTACAATGTGTGTGTTGGGGGTAGGCCTCCACTCTGCATAGTGCAGGGAGAGGGGCAGCACCAGGATCAGTGATGTGTGTGTGTGTGTGTGTGTGTGTGTGTGTGTGTGTGTGTGTGTTGGGGAGCCCTGCCCAACACCTGGGGGCAAGGGCTTGCTTTGCCAGACACAAGGACCACCTACCCCTGGGAGTCAATGGTGTCCTTGGGCCTCAGCAGCAGGCTGGAGAGGACAGAGAAGAGCTTCAGGCACATATGGGGGTCTCTTGTGGTCTGGAGACAGGTCCTGAGGGTGGGGACCACGTGCTGCAGTGCTTCTCCCACGGCAGGGCCTGGAAAAACAGAGAGATAGGCTGCAGCCATTTGTAGACTAGAGCAGGAGCCTGGGCTCTGGGCAGGAAGCCAACCTGGGAGAAGGAGCACTTGGGAATGCACTGAAGAGCTCCACACACTGTATCTTGCCCTTCCAGTAGTGCTGCTCTCCTGATCTGATTGCTTCTCAATGGAAAATGGCATCTCCTGGAGTCTCTTATCACTCAGCAGTAAGCTTTCTATTTTCTTAGTTTTCTAAATTCTTAAAACTAAAGTCAAGCAATATTTTAAAGACCAACCAAGGGCCATGCTGCGGCTCAGTGGCAGAGTGCTTGCCTATCATGTACAAAGCACTGGGTTCGTTCCCCAGTAGACACACACACACACACACACACACACACACACACCATTCAAATCAGTGGTTCAAAATGTATACATTGTCTACAGTGTCTCAGAAGCTTTGCAGCCACTATTTCCTTCCAAACAACAGAAGAGGAAATGGACACAGCTTGACTTATACCATGAAGACTTCAGAAACAGGTGGGCAACTAACTGATCTGGAAACTCAAGAATTTTGGGTAGGGAAAAAAAAAAAACAACAAAAAAACTCTGGTGTCCAAACACGCCTCATGAATCCAGAATAGAGGCCCAAAACATTTTATTGCTTCACCATGTGCCAACAAACAGGGCTTCAGATTTTAGAACAAACACAAGTTGTTCAAGTCAGTCTGCTCTGTAACATGCTTTGCTCATTCTTCTATAATTTAGAGAACAAGCCAAGCAACCTACACCTCTGCTCTTTTAAAATATGGTGTTGTTGGGCCGGGGATTTAGCTCAGTGGTTCAGTGGCCTGCCTCGCAAGCGCAAGAACCCGAGTTCAATCCCCGGTACCACAAAAACAAAACAAAACAAAACAACAACAACAACAAAAAAAAGTGTTGCCAAACCAAATGTGTACCACACTTACAAAATGGGATAGGGCGGCCTCACGCAGATGAAGCTGTATGTGGGCATGGAGAGTAGGGAAAGAAAAACACAAACAAAACCCACTAAGATATGGGAAAAGGAATGGTGTACCAAAGCTCGGGATCCCCAGCACAGTGAGATCCAGGGGTTTGCTCAGACTCTACTGACATGGAAAAAAATGATAAAAGTCTGATGAGATGAGAACTAGCATTCAGGAATAAACATCAAACTCCCGAGACTGAAGAGTTTTAGTCATGAAGGAAAAGAGAGAAGATGCACAAACCTAAGTGTGCATTTCAATGTGTTCTTCATGGCTTCCCACAAAACACATACCAATAAAAACAAAGACCCCCCCAAAGAAAATTCCTCAAAAGTGCAGTGTGTCTGTCATTATTTATGGTATAAAAAGACGGGACTTTTTTTTTTTTTTTTTTTTGGTTTTTTTTTGAGACAGGGTCTCACTATGTAGTTGAGACTGACCTGGAACTCACTATGGAGCCCAGGCTGGTCTCAAACTCACAGCAATCCTCATGCCTCAGCCTCACGAGTGCTGCAGGTGTGTGCCACCATGCCCAGCTAAAGACAGGGGACTTTAAATGGCTCAAGCACTTGACACAAAACCTGACATAGTATTAGCATTGGCCTCAGGCAGGGAGCGTTTCAGACTTTGCAATGGCAGATGTGGACCTGCAGAGCCAGTGTGTGGCTCGGGGCTGTCCTCTGGGATGAAACAGGATGAGTTCAGGTGAAAGGACAGACACACAAAAGTTACACTTTCAGCCAGGAAGTCACTCCAGGAAGTCAGAAAGAATACTATTATAAGTAAAATCTTGGCAGCATTTCCCTGAAGCCAGTTCCTACTATCTACATGATTTGGTCGTGTAGGGCAGTTGCGCCCTGCCGTGAGTGACTCCACGTCGTACACAACAGTGGCTTCCAGGCTATGCTTTGCCCTGTGTGACTCTGTTTCATAGAACAGTGGTTTGTGCCACTGCAGTGCAAATGCTGAGATGACTTGGTCACTCATCTGTGCAAAGAGAAAACCACCAGATGTTGAACACACCAAACCTGACAAAAAGAACAGACCTCAGCTGCACAGAGCAACCTTGTGGCACAAATTGACACATAAATTAATCTTGCCTGACAAAAATTCTCACCTGTAAACATATCAAATTACTTTGGGCCACATGACATATCAGTTATATCACAGAAAACCAGGACCACAAACTTACTGGGCACACAAGACCAAGGAACACCGCAAGTATCTCACCTGGCTCATACAGGAGGGGTACCCAACACTGGGGTACAGTGGCAACAATGCATACCGATCTGTCATCTCATCAGACCACCTGGCGAAGGTGTCATGAGTCATGAGCAGGCCCTTGGTCCCAGCTTTCAGCCCAGCCCTATCTCCATGCTCAGTGCGGCCCAGACTCTGGCTCCAAACACCTCTGCAAGTGCAGTAAGCCTCAGGCCTCAAAACAGCTCAGCCTGGTCTGCAATCTTATCTGACCACCCATGGTAACTCTGCACATCTCTGCAGACTCTGAGCCTTTTGCTGTCTCTTCCAATACTACAGATACTCTTAACCCTTTCCTCGCTGTTCTATAACCTATGTATTAATTTATGAAGCATGATGTGTGGCTTGAGTGTTGTAGATATTACTAAGATTGGAACGAAAGAACTCGTGATTGCCCAACTACTGGCTACCAAGAGTGGACTTTGAGTACTCAGCCAGATAAGGCTGATGAAACTGATGTAGCTTGTGAGTTTATTGTTATATACTAAATTCTGACATTGTGGAAAGACACAAATGTGTCCGGTCTATGTTACTAGCATAGCTTACTGATGACATTGATCCTGTCCAGGCCTAGGTTTGCCTTCCAGGCTTGAGTCAGTGTGGGGGAGACTAAGGAACAGGCCGTTTCCAACATAGTTGGCCTTTCTCACTTGGTCCTCTGGAGTGTGCCAATGGCCTCTGCACCACTGGGTCTGCAGTACCACACCCTGGGAAATAACCCTGGGCCACAGCCTTCTAGGCCGGGGCAGCCAACACTCAGGGTTTGAAAAGCACTGGATTTTAGGAATTGCTTTTTAAAGTAAAATATACCCAATGAAATGCATTCTGCAGACAGGGTAAGCCCAAAACTCAAAGACAGGTGTAGAGCTGCGTTGGGCCTGGCTTCTGGCTGTGGATCCTAGACGCATCCCTGGACTTTTAGGCCACCTTTGTCATCTACATGATGCCTAGAAACATCTGCCCAAAGCTAGCTGACCTCCTAACAGCCCCCCACAGCAGATGTGGGACGTGTGTCCAGTGTCTGACCCTGAGGAGCCTGGCTGGCCCACCCAGAGGGCCTCCCTTATTTTTCCTGCCTCCAAATCTCAGTGAGTCACACCCAAGTGGCTGCTGCTGGTGTGGAATCTCTCTCTCTCTCTCTCTCTCTCTCTCTCACACACACACACACACACACACACACACACACACACACACACACAGCCCTGCCAGGCATGGATGGGCAGGCCCAGGAGTTCAGGGCTTGAGATAATGGGGACACAGCCCTGAGGGGAGGCTGTGGGATCTCAGGCCAATTTGAGAGCAGAGTCCACTTTTTGACCACCTACATGCAACCCTGAGTGTGGCAGAGCCAGAGGCCACATGGGATCACATGAAGTTTAACTGGGCCTCATTCCTCTCCACACCCCTGGGTAAGGGGGTCCCCCTGCTGGAAGTATCTTGTCTTATCGGTTTACTAAGGCAGACTGTCCAGAGGCTCGCATGCTCAGCACCCCATACTGCTCTGAAATGGAAGTCAAGCTGAGCAGTTGAGTGCCTCTGTGTCTGTTGTGAGTGCGAACAGCTGGGCCGCGTGGGGCCCAGTAAGGCCTCTCACTACACCAGACAGGCCCTGCGACATTGCTGCCCTGACGTCCTCTCAGTCATGGCCTCGTCCAGCATGCCAGCATGTTCCTAGGACAGAGGCCTCCCTGCTGTAAGAGCCATTATCTCTGCAGTCATTCCTGCCTTTTAAACTCACTCTCTCCATTTTAACAAGCTGGAAACAAGTTACATTTCCTGGCCTAAATATAGAAAACAGCATCATGTCTCTGGGTCACAGTGGGCTGCTGAAATATGGGAAGGGAAGGATCACATGCCCTTCTATGCTGACAGCCCTCCAGGGGGCTCTGGTAGGGTCTGTGAGGTGGGCCACTTGATATTAAAAAAGTTAAAAAACAAAACCAAAATGGAGAGCCCATGGACTCCTGCCTCCAGTACGAGTTCCCCTCACAAGAAGCATACAAGCTCCACCGCTGTCTTCCCCTTTGCCTTGTACCATGAACATTTTCCTCCTGTTCAGGGGTGGTCATTTTTTGGGATTTTTTTTTTGAGGAAACATTTATATCTTATTTAAATAAATCCTCCAATAAGAAATGGAGAAGTCACTGGGCATGGTGGCTCACGCCTGTAATCCCAGCACTCGGGAGGCTGAGGCAGGAGGATCACTGTGAGTTTGAGACCAGCCTGGGCTACATAGTGAGTTCATAGTGAGACCCTGTCTCAAAAAAAAATAGAATTCATTGCCTTTACTTTGAAGGCTTTGCAGATGTCTGTCAACTTCATATGCAGTTGTCTGTCAAATTTATATGACAAATTTATATCACTAACATTCCCCCCTACTGGAAATATCAGTATTTCCATATAATAGTTCTCAGAAGGACTTAAAAGTCTCAAAATTCTGTGTCTCCTTTGGCTTGCTTCTGTCTGGATTCTACCCAGGTTTTTTTTTTTTTTTGGGTTTTTCCCCGGTTTTTTTTTTTTTTTGGGTTTTTCCCCGGTTTTTTTTTTTTTTTGTTTGTTTTTTGAGACAGGGTCTCACCATGTAGTTGAGACTGACCTGGAACTCACTATGTAGCCCAGGCTGGACTCAAACTCACAGCAATCCTCCTGCCTCAGCCTCCCGAGTGCTGGGATTACAGGCGTGTGCCACAATGCCCCCGGCTTGGCTTCATAAGTTTTCTTTAGAACATTCATTAATCCCTCACTAGGATCTGTTTCAGCATCGTAGGATCGCTTTTCTTTTTCTTTGCATTGTTTTTCAACTCGAGTCAAATACTCCCATTGTGTGTTTTCTGCTTTCTTTCTACATAAGATAAGAACTGTGTCAGTCTTGATTTTTTTTGAACTGCCTTCCACTGAGACGGGTTTCAAGAGCTTGTTCACAATCATAGAGTAACTCTTCCATTTAGATTCTTTATCAAAAGATCAAATGACCTCTCTATGAAATACACATTCTCAGAAGGAATTTGATGAACTCGTTAAGGTAATGTAGATTTTCAAAAACTTATCTGACTTATCCCATCTGTAATTACTGATTTTCACAGTATATCCTGTTGTGACGGGAACAAGCATAGCAGCTCATTTTTCACAGTCAAGAAATTCTGGTTTCTTTTGTGATTTTTGTTGCACCTTATTCTTTATTTCTGTTTCAATCTTGGATTTTTCAACTGTCAGGGCATCACATACTCTCTTCCTTGTGGCCTTTTCCAACAACACCTTACCTCTTCTAGATCATTCTGCAACTCCTCCAAAGCTGAAGCCATGGCCTGGGACAGACGGAAGGCCTGATCTGCAGGCATGCACTCAAGGACAGGAACTGCCCAACCCAGCGCACTGTCTGAGCCTGTGGACCTCAGCAGCGTGGGCCATGGGACCAGCAGCTGTGCGCACACCCGACCTGCAAGAGATCGCCGCTCACCCCAAGGTGGTCATTTTTAACAGTGGCCAGGACATACTTCTGTGCAAACGCCCTTACATGTGTAACTTCCTGCTAGGCATCTGGGTCACTTCCAATTTTGCTATTAAGTTATGCCCTGTTGAATAGTTTAGGTACAGAGCTTTTTCCACACCAGGATCACTTCCTTAGCATAGAGCCTCATATATCTGACTGCTGAGTAGGCAGCTATGAACACTCAGAATTACAGATGTACTGCCCAGCTGCTTTCCACAAGGACTACTCACATGGAATTCCACAGCAGGGTCCAAGGCTCCCAGTTTGAGGACAAGCTTGTTATTTTTAGTCTTATTTCACAGATTAAGAAATCATACTTGCAGTTTCTAACTCATATTTCTGTATTATTAGGAAGGCTGAATGAACACTTCCCAACTCTGTTTCCTTGCTAGTTATATTAACCGTTTCTTATATAACCCAGGTATCTTGCCTGTTTGGGGTTGATGCTTTTACCCTTATTTTATGTGAGCTTATGTAACAAAGACCTGATGCTATTAGATTCACTGTGAATATTCCCAGGTCTATCTTTCTATTACTCGGTTTCAAATGAAAATATAGTCAAACATTTCTTTTGTAGATTTTGGAAGTTTTAAAGGTCTTATAGATAAATTTAGCCTGGTATAGGACTTTTGTAAATAATCTATTTAAAAAATTCTCATATAGGGCTGGGGATTTAGCTCAGTGGTACCACCACCTGACTGGAAAGTTTGCTCCCTGGTACAAAACAAAAACAAAAACCCTCATTATTTAAAAAACAATTTTAAAATAAGCCCTGTGCCCTAGGTCTCCCTCCTGTGAAATGGGGTGAACAGCTCTTGCTATGCACAACAGCAGTGAGGCCTGGTGAGCTGGTGTCTGAAGCAGGCAGGGCAGGGAACTGCAGAGGTAACTTCTGCTGCAACCGTTGGTCCTCAGCCCTCCTCCTCAGCCCTCCTTTTTCTGCTCTGGAAACAGTTCTGTACACAACTGACAAGAGCAATTTTGGATTTCTTGCTAGGTCTGAGTCCTAGGCAACCTCACTATTTACCACAGATACATCCTTAGCTCTGCAGCACAGTACCAACACTTTATACCTCCGAAGAGGTGGCGGGACGAGGCAGAAGGGGACAGTGCGGAAGGACCATGGAAGCTGGCGCACCAAGGAAGGACCAAGTTGCAGTCACTTGGAACATACAGGATGTACCTAATGACTCAATGCAACTTCTGTAATGAAGACCCTGTCAAGGGCTGGAGTAGAGTTCAGTGGTGAGTGCTTATGCTAGGCTAGCATGTACCAGGGGATTCAGCCCTAGCACTGGGGGGAAATACAGGCCTTGTCAAAACCGCGAGGGGCTCACTACTCTGCATCTATAATGCAGGAGGTGATGAGCAACACTCTCCACCTCAGGAAAGAGCCCACATTTGTTGCCTCCGGGAGAACAGACAGAAAGGCAGAGCCAGGCCAGGGATTTAGCTCAGTGGTTCTGCTGCCTGCCTTGTAAGTGCGAAGACCTGAGTTCAATCCCTGGTACCAAAACAAAACAAAACAAACAGAAAGGCAGAGCCATCAGGCCAGGGATTCAGCTCAGTGGAATCATGTCTGCCTCACAAGTGCCAGATCCTGAGTTCGATCCCCAGTACCAAAAAAAAAAAAAAAAAAAAAACCAAAGCCCCCGGGGCCACACCCCCCCAACGC